CACAATAGAGAAAACAGGCAGACCTCCTAAAGGTGAAGACGAACACGCAGTTTGCAGCGAAGGATGTGCCTTTGGCGACCTAGCAAGGGAATATGTATAGCAAAGATCAGAGCATACGCGAGGACTACTGCTCGATTATGGCAAGCGGTTCGTCCCCGTACCTCAAAATTGAACCCGCATTTTCCTGTTTGCCCATTTATAAGGTCGGTATCAAGAACATAATCTTCAATATCAACTGACCTGGCATGTCTCCACAGCTCTGCACATATTCTCGTAACAAACGGACAATGAGCGCAACAATAAAATCCAGATGGTCCACGACCACGCTTAACACCGATCAACACCTTTTGAACAACGATATTGATTGGCTTGCCATTTTTCTGAAAAAAAAGTGTAAAAACTAAGCAAAAGCAATTATCATTGCAGAACCAGGAACTCACGGCTCTTAGCAAATTGTCCTCAGTGTGCAGAGCGATATGAGATCGCAGACTGACGGCACGTTTTGTACTGTAAGTGCACTGTGAACACTTGAACCGGGCATTCAGAGTATGCATTTCCATATGTGACCGCATGTCACATGAAAATTTCGAGACATACGGACAAAGCGGGCAGCGACGTCGCTTCACACCATCAGACTGAAAAAAAACCGGGAGCATGCACACCACAATTGAAGGTGTCAAAAACAAGTCTATACAAAGAGAGCGGGACAAGAAGTCACCACGCGACGTCGCACCACCCGGTCACCACGCGACGTCGCACCACCCGGTCACCACGCGACGTCGCACCACCCGGTTACCACGCAGCGTCGCACCACCCACATGTTAAATTGCGCATCCTACGTACTGTGCAGCGCGTGGGTGATTCTCTAGCTGCGAAAAATTTGCACTGCTGATGTTTACACTCCAAAAAGTTGACATGTAGCGTATTCAAGGTTGAGCACGCGTCACCCCAATCCGGCGCGAAACTTGAATTTCGAGTGTAGCGACGTCGCGCGATGACTTGGTACAGTATCTACAAGAGAAAATTGCGAATTAGGAATTTCTAGGATCGGGTTTGCACAGTTAGGTACACAGAATCGTTCGAAAAATTGTCAAAAGGCGAACTCGTGATTTCCACCAAACTCAGAAAGGGTAAGGCCGCGTTCATAGTTCGCGACTCCGGAGATTAGGATAGTACGCGACAATGAAAAACATATGTATTGACGGGGAGATTAGGATAGTAGTAGATTAGGATAGTAGGAGAGTAGGATAGTGCGCTGACAAGATTAGATAGGTATTGATCGATTCGCCTGATTCGCTGATCTCCAGAATCGCGAACTATGAACGCAGCCTAACCATAAAAATAAACAACAACGATTCTTACCCCAATAAAACGTAGAGACGGTTCAGTTGCGGAGCGTCGTGGTGGACACTTGGGTTTCTGTTCTGCACATGGGGTCGTATCTACAGACGGTTGGACAGGTTGAACATGTTGAACAGGATGAACAGGTTGAATTAGCGCCTGCTCTTGAAGCACAGACGCAAAGGTGATGGGAACAGGAGTGCATGTCGGTATTGTAATTGGTCCTCCTGGCACGGTGCTAAGGGATACGGTAATCACAGGTGCTGTTTTCGTGAGAGGGATCAGCGATGTTGGCACATTAGATACGGGTAACAAGGCACTCATAGATGGCACATGGTATTTTTTGAGTAGAGGGAGGGTTCGGTACAGACGGAGTGATGGTTGCAATTGTCTGGTGAAGTCGACGGTGTTTCTCAATGAACTCGAGCGTACGTCCAGAAAAGGTGCAATGAGGACACTGAAAATATTATTAATATCAAGCTCTCAATACTCAAAAGGCAAGCACACTAATTCCTAAGCCTGAAAGAGATCCTTCACTTGATGTTTGGCTTCATGTCGATTGAGATTTGATCGAGTCGGAGTTGTATACGGGCACAGTGCACAAGAAAACTCATTCGTTTTGGCTTTCTCAGCACTCCTAAAAGTAACAGATTCGAACTGCAACATAGAATGGAAAGAATCATACACAAAATTTGTAAGGTTGTTTGTCCTTCTCAGCTCTCGAATCTGGCGCATATGCTGCGCCTTTGTGGCTTAAAGCAAGCCACCCATGATGGAGGATTCGTGTCAGAAAATTCTATTCTGTGGTAAGGAGCGAGTAATCCGGCGGTATCCAGTTTGGGCGCTAGGGCCTATAAAATCAAGCGAAGAGAACTAACAAGGAATGGTCATTTGGTCGGTCCGGCCGTTTGCAATGAGGTGTAGTCCGCTGCACACGCTGAGCTGAGCAAATCCGTTTTCGGTTTTTGCCGAACGATTCTCTGAACGAAGTTATGAGGGATTCTTCTCACTGTGGCTATCTCACTGTGGTGCCCTCTACATCCCCCTATCCCACTTGGCTCGCGTAAAAACAGAACGAACGAACAGAACGATAACAAAATAACGCAGTATAGCGCTTTCTGGGCTCGTATGAGCAACCTTGAAAGAACCGCGAAATGCTCCGCGATTCTTCTTATGTGTGATAAGTGGGATGGGGGGGGGGGGGTGTAGAGGTCGCCACAGTGAGATAGCCGCAGTGAGAAGAATCCCTCATAACTTCGTTCAGAGAATCGTTCGGCAAAAACCGAAAACGGATTTGAGCTCAGCGTCGCAAGACGCGTGCATCAAACTACACCTCATTACAAACGGCCGGACCGACCAATTGACCATTCCTTGTAAGCTGACTATTCACGAAGTCCCC